GAAACATTTGGAACATTTAAGCAAGTTGCTTTCATTAATCAGTAGTCTGTCCTAATGAGGTGACCACGGCTAAAATGCAGTTACAGGGAGTTCTGCATCCTGAGGACCTGTGTGCACGTGCTAGTTTGACTGTGAATCAACTTCTAGAGAAATGACTTGTTTTCAATCAAAACTATGATAACTGTAGGATCTCTGTTCTTTTTCTTTTATGAGACAAGTGGACTGTAGAAGTGTCACAGGGTCAATGCTGTGTCCTAATGTTTCCCAGCAACAAAAATCTCCAACATTATACGAATAACTAAACAATGACACAGAGTCAACCGCTAAAGGCAAAACTCTTGCTTCAAAAGATTTCAACACTTAATTTCATATTCAGACTGAAATCCTCATCTGCAGCAGCAAAGAGAGTAAAGGAAGCTCTCAGCAGGATGTGGTAATTGTAGTTTACTTGCTTAATGTTAACTGGACACTTCATCATCATCATCATCATCCATCTCTGCTGCCTAAATATATTTCCTGCCTTTAGAAGGGTTGTAATCTGTTCCCTCAGCAACACAGACACAATCAGTGCTCTGCTTTTGAAGTGCATTGGTAAGAGTGTGTATTTTTTTTTTGGAGGAACACAATATGTAGGCACACTTTATTATAAGTAAAATCTTTGGTCCTTGTGTGTGTGTGTGTGTGTGGGTGTGTGTGTGTGCATGTGTTATCCCACAGAACTCCAGAGCATATTTGATGGATGACTCATACAGACCTTTGCCTTATTATTTTATATGTCAGACACAAAGAGAGAAGGAAGAAGAGAGTCTGGTGATATGTTTGGGAGGCTGTTTTTAGGTGTGGGTTCTGATGTATGTTGCTGTGTTTGTGTGTTTGTGTACCCCCGTGGATGCTGTTGCCTACTGCTGACCCCTGACAAAGCCGCTAGAAGTGGTGCAATATCCGAGGAATAAGTGTTGGTGAGATACACTCATAGGAACAAAACATGTTTGTCAGGTCCGCTCGGCGCGACCTGCCTCTCTTTCTTTATTTCCTCTCCTGCTCCCTTTTTGCGGGATCAACGCCTCAGCTGTGTCGCATCGGGTAATTAGTGACTCGTGGGTCGGTGCGCACACCTGAGGCGTATTCCGGTGATTTGTTGGCTTCCTTATTTATACCTCTGGCAGACGCCCCGTTGTCGTCGGAGTGTTGCGACATGTAACGTACTATACTTAAAGTAAGTCATATAAAGGTTGTGTTTGACCCGCATTTCTTAGACGTGTGTAAGATGCTACGCTGACAGTCTCTGTGCGTTTTGGCTTGACCTTATCACGCTAATTATGCGGTTAGCAACACAGAAATACGTGCTTTGTCTTCCACGCTGACAGTC